TGCGGGGTGCCAGGGTTGAGGGTGTGATGAAAAGCCCCCGAGGATGCTGACACCCCCCTCCCCCCACAGCAAGGAGCTTAGGCTCAGCCCAGCCCTGTCTCGGTCCATGCAGACGTGCTGCTGGACATTTCCAAGCAGCTGGGCCTTGGCAGGTGGCACCCATGTGACTCTCCTTTTCTGCCACCCAGCTCCCTCGGCCCCACACTCAACTTCGCAGAGCAAGACCCAGAGCCCTGGGTACCCCCACTCTGCCCTCTTCCTCGCCCCTTCCGCCCCATCTCTGTTCTCCTCTGAGCCCCGAAGTTTGCTCACCTCCACTAAACCCCCATTCTTTTTTTTTCTTTTTTGCTTTTTGGGTCACACCTGGCAATGCACAGGAGTTACTCCTGGTTCATGCACTCAGGAATTACTCCTGGTGGTGCTTGGAGGACCCTATGAGATGCTGGGAATCAAACCTGGGTCGGCTGCGTGCAAGGCAAACACCCTCCCCACTGTGCTATCGCTCCAGCCCCTCTAACGTTATTGAATCACCGTGAGGAAGTTACAAGCTTTCATGTTTGGGTTACAGTCACACAATGACCAAACACCCATCCCTCCACCAGGGCACATTCCCCACCACCAATCTCCCTAACCCCCATCCTTTCAAACCCATCCACCCTGCCCACTGCTGGCCCACCGAACAGAGCTCAGCACTCAGCCCAGCTAGGTCCCCTGAGGGGTTACAGGAACCAGACACTGGGGTGATCAGTGACCGCAGTGTGGCGAGTTCGGGTCAGTGGGAAGGGCGATAAGGAAGGAGGGTTCTGAGGATGCAGGGGGTTCCACTCAGGGCTGACCCTGCCTCTCACAGGGGACGGTGCCCCAGTCCAGGCCCGGCGGGGCCAGGGAAACACCGAGAGCCAATTTCCAACTCTCCGGGACATTAGCTCGAATGTCCAGAGGACATGATGGATCAGAGAGATGCCAAGAAAGCGGGAACTCCGGCCCCATGTTTTATTGTGCCCATAAACCACATTTTACAGTTTCTGTTCAATTTTATGCGGGTCCGCTAAACGTTTGATATCATATGGTACTTTCAACCCCAGGATTTATGGCACGTCAGCAATGGCATTGGGAATAAAAACTCCAAAGTGTGGGTTTTACAAGTCATCCAGTGTATTTATGATTGACATAAACAGTCCCCGCAGCCCCTCCGAGCGGCTCTAAGATTTAACTCCCGTATTAAAGATACTCACTTCCCTCTCGGCAAGGTCGCCAGCAAGGTGAAGCCGGAGATGGCGGGAAAATGAAAAGATCCGCTGTGTAATGGAAACTATTTTAAAGCACGGTGATAGATGGAACCTCATCCTTCTGCATTCCCGATTAATAGTCATGCTCTGTTTATTTTATGTTTTATGCCCTGGGACCCTCCAGGGCCCGACTCTGGCAGCTGCTAACCAGCCGTTCATCTCTCTAATGTGACCGAACTGGCACGAGTGAGCTCGATCGTGCTGGTTTTCCTTTTAAATGTGGAGTTTTTGGTTTTTTTTTTTGGGGGGGGTCACACCTGGCGATGCACAGGGGCTACTCCTGGCTCTGCACTCAGGAATTATTCCTGGCAGTGCTCAGGGGACCATATGGGATGTTGGGAATCGAACCCAGGTCGGCTGCTTGCAAGGCAAACGCCCCACCCACTGTGCTAGCTCTCCAGCCCCTAAATGCGGAGTTTTGAAGTTTAACAGAGTTCCCTCAGGGTGCCTGTGGACCGTCTCCGGCTTGTTCTACCAGAATGGTTGTCACGAGGCTGTGAACCTCAATGCACGGAAGGCCTACTTTAACCCAAAACAAGGGGAGAAGTCTCAGTGCAGAGGTGCTTCGTGACGGATCCGCTGTTTCTGGGCCGGGTCAGGAGCCAGGGTGGCTGATTTTAGGTGGCTTCGGAACAAGCCCGGTCAGAAGGCACCTGGCTCATCTAAGAGTTGGCAGCAGATTGCAAAACCACCCAATTTTCTTACATGCAAAAGCCATTGTAGCTACAAGTTTGGAAGTCAGGAAAGCACAGGGCCAGAACTCTGCAGGGGAAAGTTCAGCGGTCAGGCGTTTGCGTGGCTTATCAGAGCATTCACGTGAGACCCCCAACTCTCAGGAAACTGTTTCTGTGCGTGCAGGCGCCCTGGTTTGTCCTGCACACCAGCCACTGGGGTTTTAGCTGCTGTCCTGAGACTCTGCCGGCCACCGGGGTCTTAGCTGCAGTCCTAGGACTCTGCTGGTGGGGGTAGAAAGACAGCAGGGGGCTGAAGGCACCTCAGGGCTCCTGGGCCTGGTGAGCACCACAGGGAGCCTGACAGTTACCTCAGCAGGGAGAGGGCTCAGTGGGGGCTCAGGGTGTCTCCCAGGGGCAGACAGCTCAGTCATGCTATGGGGTTCAGAAAGAGAGACCCAGTGAGCAACACGTGAGACCCCCATGTACAGGAAGCTCCAGTCCCTCCTCGAGGCCCCTCAGGGAGAGGATTGGGTGGTCGCTGGGGACCGTCCCCGGGAGCCTGTTTGCAGTCATGGCCTGTCCTGTTCTAACATTATGAAGGCTTCAGGCGCGTCGATGAAAGTCAGTAGGGGGGCTGGAGCGATAGCACAGTGGGTAGAGCATTTGCCTTGCACGCAGCCAACCTAATTCCCAGCATTCCATATGGTCCCCCGAGCACCACCAGGAGTAATTCCTGAGTGCAGAGCCAGGAGTAACCCCTGAGCATCGCTGGGTGTGACCCAAAAAAGCAAAAAAAAAAAAAAAAGAAAGCAGGAAGTGCCTGGCCGCGCCCAGCCCTCCTGGGTGACCCCTGCCCCGGCACATCCTCGCTCTGTTCTGCCAAGGTGGCCCCTCTGAGACCAGCCTGCCATCAGTGGCGGTGCTTCTTTATGAATACCTGCAGGGTATTCAAAACCCCTGGGAAAGCTGTGGGTGGGACATTTCCAGGTAGGGCAGAGGGGCTGCAGGAGCTCGGAGGGGCTCCCCAGATGGGCCGGGCAGGAAGGGCGCCTGCTGGGCCTGGGCTGAGGAGCCGATGCCGGGCGGTGAGGTGTCCCCACAAGAAGCCCTGCATTCCTGGGCTCGCCCCTGCTGCTCCGGAAGGTGCCTAATTGTGCTGCTTTGGGTGGGCTACAGTGCTCAGGGGTTGCTCCTAGCTCTGTGCTCAGGGGTCACTACTCCTGGCAGGGCTGGTGGGATCACATCGGGTGCGGGGGACTAAACTGGGGCTGGCCTCATGCCTGGCCAGCCCCAAGCCTCTGTAGTAGCTCTCTGCGCCCCTCATTTTAGTTCTGGCTTGAAAACCACTGGACAAGCTCTGGTCCCCAGCTGCTGAGCGGGCTGTGGCCCCTCCTGGCCCCCCCTGCTGACAGATTCACTGCTTGGAAACTCCCTTGGCTTATCTCGTACACACAGAGGGGAGCTTTAGTTGGGGGTCACACCCGCCGGAGCCCACGGGGTGCTGTGGGCTGAACCTGCATGGAAGGGGACAGATGAAGCCTTTGGGTTCTCTCCCAGCCCCAGGGAGACTTTTTTTGGGGGGCACACCCATTTTGCTTGGGGGTCACTCCTGGCTCTGTGCTCTGGGATCACTCCTGAAGTTGAAGCCACGATGGTGCCCAGGATGGAATATACTTAGGGCGAGTGGAAGGCGAGCACCCTGCCCGGTGAACCATCTCTCTGACCCTCCAAGGAGATGGTTAAAGTCAGTGGTGGGGTCCAGAGAGCATTAGCCCCAGGGACGGGGGCGGGGAGAGAGGGAGAGAGATGGAGAGTGGAGAGGGACAGAGAGAGAGGAGAGGGGGAGAGATGCCTGGTGAGAGAGGATACGTGCAAGGGAGAGGGGATAAGGAGGAGGGGGAGGAGGAGAGGGAGAAGGGAAAGACGGGAAAGAGAGAGGAGAGGGAGAGAAAGAGATGGAGGGAGGGGAGAGTCCTTAGAGCATCACGAGAGTGACACCCGCTGGTCAGACAGCTGTGGCTGGAAACCCCACAGGGGCTGGATACAGCTGTCAAGAGAGTGAAAACTCACCTTCTTTAAAATTCTAGACCCAGGGGCCGGAGCGATAGCGGAACAGATAGGGCGTTTGCCTTGCACACAGTTGACCTGGGTTTGATCCCCGGCATCCCATATGGTCCCCCAAGCACCGCCAGGAGTAATTCCTGAGTGCAGAGCCAGGAGTAACCCCTGAGAATCGCTGGGTGTGACCCAAAAAGCAAAAAAAAAAAAAATTTTTTTTAGATCCGGGGCGGGAAGTACAGCGGGGAGGGTGTTTGCCTTGCATGCAGACAACCTGAGTTCAATCCCCGGCATCCCATATTTTGGCCAGGAGTGATTCCTGAGTGCAGGGCCAGGAGTAACCCCGAGCATCGCTGGGTGTGACCCATAAAAAGGGAAAAAATAGATAAAGTACTAGAAATCTAGACCTCTGCTGTCTGGAGCCAATCCAGAGACAGAAACCAAAGGCTTGACGTCTGCTCTGCAGCCAAAGTAGAAGACTCAGGGAAGCCCCCAGTCCCTGCATTTCTCCCGGGACACGGTTCCCCGCTTCCGACTGCTTCCAGCAACATAAAAGTGCAAGGGCACAGCGGGGAGGGCGCTGGCCTGCAGGGGTTCACTCCGGGGCAGCCCCCTTGGTCCCTGCCCCTGCCCTGGGCACCGCTGGGTGTGGCCCCCCCTAGTGCCATGACACACGATTATTTGCAGCAGCAGATTCCATAACTGCAAAATACTGAGCCAAACGAACACACGGTCAGGCAGAGGCCAGGGACGCGGCTCAGCCCCGGCCGGCACGTGCGCGCCGCAGGCCCCGCCCCGCCCCGCCCCGTGACCCACAAGACCACGCCCATGATACCCCGCCCACACATCACGTGAGCAGGGAAACCCCGCCCACCGCCGAGTCCCACTCGCCACCGAATGCGCATGCTCCCACGTGCCGCGGCACGTCTAGCGTCACGTGAGCGCGAGGTCACGTGACGGGCGCGTCCCCCGGAGCGGCGCAGGATGGAGGAGGAGGAGGAGGCGCGCGCTCTGCTGCCGGACGCGGCCCCCGCGGCCCCCGCGGCCCCGCCCGCGCTCTGCGACCCCCGCCGCCTGGCGCACCGGCTGCTGGTGCTGCTGCTCATGTGCTTCCTGGGCTTCGGTGAGCCGCGCGCCGGCCCGTCGGAGGCCGTGGCTGAGGGGCGGGCGGGGGGCAGCGGGGAGGCCGCGAGGGGCCGGGGCGGGATGGGAGCCCGCGGGCACGAGACCCTGCGGCCGCCCGGGGGGTCTCGGGCGGCGCCGGTGGTCGCTCTCCGGCAGGCGGCTCTGGGAGACCGCCCGTCCGCCGCCCGTTCGTGCTCTCCCGGCGCGGCGCGCCTCTCGGGGTGCGGGGTCGCACCACCTCCAGGCAGGCTGGCAGACAGACGGAGGCGTGTCGCCTCGCCGGCCCCGGAGTGGGACGCGCAGACCTCCCCGCTCTCCTGGCCCACCCGCGGCGGTTGCGCGCTAACCTTGGCCACGGGGACTCCTTTTCATCCCCGTGGGCGTTTTTTGTTTTTTAGCCGCAGCCAACTGTGCTCAGGGCTTACTCCTGGCTCTGCACTCGGGAATCACTCTCGGCGAGCTCGTGGACCTTAGGGCATGATGCCAGGGATCGAACCGTGCCGCGTTCAAGGCACCCCCCTGCCCACTGTACTGTTACTCTGCCCTGCTCTTAGGACTTCTTTACCATTCTCTGTTCCTCTTCCCTGCCTTGTGCTGCTCAGGCCTTTCTTTCTGCAGTGCTGAGCTCCATGGTGCGGCCTTACTCCCTGCAGTGTCTTTCTGGTCCTCACAAGTCTTTGCTCTTGGAGACTCTGTAGAATAAAACTATTGTTTCGTTACTGCTTGAGTCTGAGTGAAACTCCCATTTATTGTCAAGACACACAGTGATCTCAAGGAATGGTGCTTGGAGCTCTGTGTGTGTGTGTGTGTGTGTGTGTGTGTGTGTGTGTGTGTTCTGGCAGCTTTAAAGAAAACACAGCAGCTTTTTCCAGAGGCCAGTACTAAAACTGTGAAATCTAAGGGAAATAAAAAGTGGGACCATTAATTGCACTGCCTTCTCCATCCAGGCTTGCTGTCTGTGCTCTCTGATAGATTTAACTGATCTGGCATTTTTTTTCCCTGCATTTGGTGACAACTTAGAAGATACTGCTGGGCAAGGGAGTGGTCCAAAAGAGTTTCCAGTCAGTTCCTGTGCCCCTGAGACATACATTTGAAGTCACCGGTTGAGTTGTCCCGTGAGACGGTCTCAGATGGCAGTTATCACTGAGGTAACTGTGGCTCTTCTTTCCTCCCAGGCAGCTACTTTTGCTATGACAACCCTGCGGCCCTGCAGATCCAGGTGAAGCAGGTGAGTTCACCTCATGCCTTCCTGGCTTTGTGTAGGCAAGGGGCCCCGAGGCACAGTCCTGCATCCCAGTGCCACCCCGGTGCTGTCAGCACCGGCGGCTGCTCCTGTCCCCACTTGGAGAGCTGGTGACTTGCTGTGTCCGCTGCATAGTCAGAGGGCTTAGCATTGTATTGACTGAACTGTGCAGTCAGTTTTCAGAAGAGCAAATAATTTTTTTGTTTGTTTTTTTGCTTTATTTTTTGGGGGCGGGCTTGGAGCAATAGCACAGCGGGTAGGGCGTCTGCCTTTCACGCAACTGACCCGGCTGACCTAGGTTCGATTCCTCCATCCCTCTCGGAGAGCCTGGCAAGCTACCCGTGACATATTCAATATGCCAAACACAGTAACAACAAGTTTCAAAATGGAGACATTACTGGGCCCACTCGAGCAAATCAGTGAACAGCGGGAGGACAGTGAGAGTGACAGATCGTTTTTTGGGTCACACCCAGCGATGCACAGGGGTTACTCCTGGATCAGGAATTACTCATGGCGGTGCTCGGGGACCATATGGGATGCTGGGAATCGAACCTGGGTGCAAGGCAAACACCCTACCCGCCATGGTATTACTCCAGCCCCAAGAGCAAATAATTTGAAAGGGGAACTTTTTTAAAATTGTATTTAACGTATGAGACCAATTGTAATTACTACACCACCTCCGCTTTGCTGATGACTTTGTTTTAATAACACCAAACATTAGCCAAGCGGCACAAATGCTGGCCAACTTCGACCGTGAGTGTGGAAAGGTCGGACTACAGCTGAATCTTACAAAGACAATGTTTATGAGAAACAGCCTCGTTCCTGACGCCCCTTTCGCTCTCAACGGAACAACCATCTCCAAATGCAACAGCTATGTGTACCTAGGTCGAGAAGTCAACATGACAAATGACCTGGCACCGAGCTGCGCAGGAGGAAGAGAGCGGCTTGGAATGCCTTCAAGAACGTCGAAGAAATAGCTAAGAGGATGAAGAACCTCTGGCTCCAGGCACATCTCTTTGATTCCACTGTTCTTCCTGCATTAACATACGCCTCAGAGACCCGGGCCCTACACAAACAGGATGAGAACGCTATTCGGGTCTTCCAAAGAGGAATTGAAAGAGCTATGCTTGGAGTATCACGTTTCACTCAAGTGAGAGAAAGAATCTGGAGTTTCGACCTCCGTTGACGATCAAGAATCAGGGATGCTGTCTCATTTGCCAAGGCGTCAAAAAATCAGATGGGCTGGTCAGTTAATGAGATTTGGAGATGACCGCTGGACTAGAGCTGTTACCGACTGGATTCCACGGGACGTCAAAAGACCGTGTGGCCGCCCACCTACCAGATGGTCAGACTTTTCATCAAGATCATGAACGATCGGTTTGAGGCTCTTCGTGTTCCTAGAACGAACAGACGCCACTGGGCTACACTAGCACGTGACAGGGACAATTGGAGTCGTTACTGGCACCCGCTCGAGCAAATCGACGATTAACAGGAAGTCAAGTGATCAAGTATTTACTGTAGAAAATAGTGGCACTTTTGATACAATTCTAGGTTTAAAATTGATTAGACGACAAAGTTGCAGTATTAAAAGCAATAGACCTAGAAAATAAATTTCTTTGAACATTGTTCTATTTGATTTCAGGGTTAGTGAGCCCTTGTCCGAAGATCTTACTAAGCTTTCCGTTGCTTCAGAAGGTGTGCATGGTCCAGATCTAGGTCTGGGCCAAAGAGGCAGACGTGGGTGGTGGGCAGGACTGTATGGGGGGTACGGGAGAGACCCTGACTCTGTAAAGGTCCCCAGACTTCTTAGCCAGGGCACTAGTCACTGAGATTATTTGGAGATTATGTCTCTGCATTCTGCAGAGAATGTCCCTGTGGGTGGTTTCAGTCTGGTTTTGTAGCCTCACACGGTAATAACAGTTCCTTGTGTATGGCGTCGTCTGTCTGCCATTTACTTTGAGGTGGGGGAAATGCATAGATGTTCCTTTCCAGACTGGAAGGAGAAGAAGGGGGGAATGACGGGTGGTGGCAGGGGGCTGAGGTGACGCTGCTCTGGGTGGGGCAGCCCCACGGCACACAGAGAGGTACAGGCAGGTGCGCACAGCCTAGTGCCACAGGAACCCAGAAAGTTCTCAGGGACTAGAGCTGCCAGAAATTGGCAGGCAGTCGGCCCCTTGACTTGTCAGCTGCTCCGCTTCCCTGTTAGAGACGGTTCTGTTTCTTCCCTCCCAGGACATGCAGGTGAATACCACCAAGTTCATGTTGCTCTACGCCTGGTACTCTTGGCCCAATGTCATCCTGTGTTTCCTTGGCGGCTTTTTGATAGACCGAGTCTTTGGAATACGGTAAGCTTGAGAACAGCACCCAAATTGCACCAATGGCAGAGCCTGGTGACTAGGAGAACATAGAACTGCATGTATGTTTTTAACTGAGAGCGAGAGAGAGAGAGCGCATGTGCGTGTCACAGAGCCATTCATGATGGGGTTTTGACCATACAGTATTCCAACACCCATCCCTCCACCGGTGTCATTTCCCAGCACCAATGGGAAACTGGGACATTGGTCACTGAAGCAATTTTTATGTTTCTGGAGTTAGATTTTCAATGTTTGGAAATGTGTTGAACGAGGAAGGCTGCTCGAGGCCGGAGCTCAGTCCTCACCTGCGGGTGTCCACTGCCCTCAATGTGAGCCTGCAGTGGGCACACTGGGAAACCTGGACCCTGCATCCTGCCTGGGAGGTGGCTCTGTGCAGTGAGGTCTCTGCCTCGCCCAGCCCCGGGCTGTCTCTGCCTTCCTGTAGCATGCAGGCCTCCACGTGCTGGTGCCCTGGGGACTGTCTGGGACGGGACAAGCAAGCGTCACCTGCAGGACAGGGGCCGGAGCCACAGTGCTTGGCTCCAGCCTTGCCTTTCTCTGGACAGCAGGGCCTTTGCTGGCCGAGGAGGGAAGTGAAGGGTCAGCACCGTCACTTCCCCCCTGGCGGATGTGGAGCGCTTGGGAGAGGGGGGTGGCGGGGGAGTTTCAGACACAGAGGGCACTGGTGAGGGGAGTTGGAGCTCAGTGGTGGACAGTGGCACTGACTTCAAGGGGGCAGAGATGGTGTGACGGGGACAGGGACTGGAAGGGGCAGAGGCGGTGTGACGGGGATGCTGACCTAAGACGGTGAGCGTGTTCGGGAGGAGTTGGCTCCCTCATGAGCCTGCAGGAGAGGGGTTGGTGGGATGTAGCGGGCAGGTTCCGGGCAGGAGGGGCCGGGGCTTACCTGGTCTGAGCACACACACAGACCGTGTGGCCACTGCCCGGGACCTGGGTGGGATTGGCGTCTTGGCCCTGCCTTTGCTCCCTGGCTGAGCAGGAGGGTCCTGAGGATGCTGGTTTGTTACTCTGGGGCGACATCAGTTCTGACCGGAAGGTCTCTGGTGTAACTGTGCTCACCTGGATGGTGTTTGTCACTCTGAAGCTGGCCCTTCATTGCTAAGAATTTCAGCCCTTCGGCATGGTTCACTTGGGAATTCACTGGCCTCGGTAGTGGGTTCTTACTGGAAATGTTAGCCTTTCCGGGTGTAAATGGAAAGCCTGAGAACTTCAGAAGATTATTGTGTTGTGTTGAAAGTCATCATGACCTGACTTGGGCCTTTTTTGGAAACTTCTAGAATCCTCTCAGAAGTCTAGACTTCTTTTGGTTTGGGGTACATTTGGCCAAAACCCTGAATTCAAAATGTGTCGTGAGTTGCCATTCTCCTCTCCTCTCTTCTGCAGTGCTCGCGGCCGCTCTTGAGAGGGGCCGAGGTTCTGTCTGCTGCTCACTGTCCCCCACTTCCAGACTTTTGGTGCTGGCAGGGCTCCTTGGAGGGGGCAGAGGGTCAGGCAGGAGGGAGGCGTCACCAACTGGGGCGCTCACTCATCTCTGTCTCTCTCACAGGTGGGGTACCATCATCTTCAGCTGCTTCGTCTGCCTGGGGCAGGTAAGGCTTAGGCAGTCACCCGGACGCTGTCCCCGGCTCGCAGCAAGCCACTGAGTCGGCGGCGCATTGACCTTCCTGGTACAGAGCATGTGAGCTCTGAGCTCACAGAACGCGGCATGTCACGGGTCCTGGGGCGGGAACGTCAGCCGCTTCTCAGGAATGCCTTGAATTTACTTTCTCATTGAGTTTCTGTTACATGCTTCATTATAGGTTATTTTTGCCCTGGGTGGAATATTTAATGCTTTTTGGTTGATGGAGTTTGGAAGGTTTGTGTTTGGGTAAGTGCAAAGTAATTTCATGTATCCTAATATATTGTTTTAGTGTTAATCTGTTCATTAACAACTTGTGCAAAGTATTTCATCTTTCTGGAGAATTTATCTTGAACCCTTGAATTCTATTTACAAACTGTAAAAGTTGTCATCTTCCTGTGAAGGAAGCAATGCTTTTTTGTGTGTGTGTGGGAGGGTCACATAATGGCGATGTTCAGGGCTGACTCCTGGCTTGCTCAGGGTTCACTCTTGGTATTCTCAGGGAACATCGGGGTGCCAGGGATTGAACTTGGGTTGGGGTGTTGCTGTACTATCTCTCTGGCCCCGAGGCCCAGCACTGTTGGGGGCCCCGCTTAACTCTGTGGGATTGGAACAGAACGGTCTTCTTCATGTTGTGTTTTTCTGATAGACTGAGTGATGTTCTGGGCTGGGGTATAGCTTGGGGCTCAGTGCTTGCTCTGATGCTGGCGAACCCAGGTGCAGTTCCTGAAGCGACACAGTTCCCCAGTACTGCTGGGCACAGTCCCCCACACCCCCAAGCATGCGAGGTTTAAAGTAGACCGAAAAGACGGCACCTGCGGCCCCCGCAGCTGACGGCCACCAGCCGGGGGGCCAGATTCCTCCCACTCCTTGCAGGACGGGGCGCCCGGGCTCAGCCTCAGCCCTGCTCCTGACCTCCGTCAGCACCTCCCTCTCTCCCCTCAGGGTTGGTGGCGAGTCCCTCGCGGTGGCCCAGAACACATATGCCGTGAGCTGGTTCAAAGGCAAAGAGCTGAACCTGGTGTTTGGGCTCCAGCTCAGCATGGCGAGAGTCGTGAGTATGACGGGCCGGGGCTGAGGGTCGCTTCTCGGGAAGGGCCTGAGCCGGTGTGCGTGTGAGGGGCCAGGAATGGTGTTCGAGGGTTTTCCTTTCTTCCCTTCTGTTTTTGGCCACACCCGGCGGTGCTCAGGGGCTCAGAGGTTACTCCTGGCTCTGTGCTCAGGCATCGCTCCTGGTGGGGCTCAGGGGCCCGCGTGGGTGCTGGGGCTTGAACCCGGGTCTGCTGTGTACAGGGCAGGGGCCTCCCGCTGTGCTTCCGGTCTGACCCTCACCACGCTTTGCTCGGCTCTGGCAGTCGTTTAAGCACACTCGGGGGCTCAGGCTGTGCCCACAGCGTTCCCCGGGTGCTCTCCCGGACGCGTCACCCCCGCTCTGTCTCCCGTGGGGAGGAGAGACACAGGTGGCCACTGTGTCCCCACAGGGTAGCACCGTCAACATGAACCTCATGGGGTGGCTATACTCGCGGATGGCAGCCGCGCTGGGCTCCACCGGCCACAGCACCCTCGGGGTCACACTGCTGATCGGTGAGTGGGCGAAGTCCGTCCGTCCCGCACACCCCGTGACCGCCCCCCACGCCCCCGCACTGCCTCTCGCGTGTTGTCCGGCCCCGCACCCAGAGCCTCCCTCTTCCAGGGGGTGTCACCTGTGTCCTGTCGCTTGTCTGCGCCCTGGTGCTCGCGTACCTGGACCAGAGAGCAGAAAGGCTTCTCCACAAGGAGCAAGGCAGGACAGGTGCGTGGGGCCCTCCTGTTGTCGCCCGAGACTCAGGGTTCCTGCGACCCCCTGCCCCGGCACGGCCCCTTTGTCCTTGGGTTTTGGTGGGACTTAGCTTGAAGGACTTTGCACATTTGCGAGGAGGGAGGGTTCCTGGAGAGAGCAGGAAGGGCCATGCTGGGTTCTCCTGGCGGAGGGGGCTGGGGCCAGCCCCGTGGTCAGCACTGACCCTTGGAGTTACTCACGGGGGCCATGCCTGGTGCCGGGATTGGCGCCTCCCCCACTGTCATGTCTCGGGCCCAGCTGTTGTGTCCGGGTCTCTGTGGGCCCAGAAGCCGTATTCTAGTAGTTTCCTGAGAAAAGGTTCATTGTTTGGGCCATACCCAGAGGTCTCGGGTCACTCCTGGTAGTACTCACGCCCACACATGGCAGTTGGGGCTTGAACCTGGGCTGGTCACAGGCACGGCCAGAGTCCTGCCCGCCGTGCCGTCCCCAGCTGAAATGTTCAGGCCTCAGTTTACCACCCATGTGGTCTGTGGCTTGCGCGGCGAGGGGCTCCTGACTTGCTGTGTCCGGCCAGGCGAGGTCATCAAGCTGACGGATGTGAAGGACTTCTCCCTGCCGCTCTGGCTCATCTTCCTGGTGTGCGTCTGCTACTACGTGGCCATCTTCCCGTTCATCGGCCTGGGCAAGTGAGTCGCAGCCGGCTTCCTGCCTTTCCCGTGGGCTGCGGCTCCCCGTGCCCCGCCGGCGTCTGACGCGCTCCTCTCTCTCCCTCCGGTCAGAGTTTTCTTCATAGAGAAATTTGGCTTCTCCTCCCAGGCTGCCAGTGCCATTAACAGGTATGTGCCTGATGCCATCTGGCACCTGCGGGTGAGGCGGGAGGTGGGACCCGCCCGTGCCAGGGCCCACGGTGGCCTGAGACCAGCGTCCAGGGTGTGAGCACTGTCCTGAGGGGCTGCCCAGGGAGGGCCCCGGCTCAGAGTGTGCTCCGTGCAGCATCGTCTACGTGATCTCTGCACCCATGTCGCCTGTGTTCGGTCTCCTGGTGGACAAGACTGGGAGGAACATCGTGTGGGTCCTGTGTGCCGTGGCCGCCACGCTTGCTGCACACGTGATGTTGGCCCTGACGCTGTGGAACCCCTGGATTGCCATGGTAACTGCACGGGGCTCACTCCGGGGTTGTCATGGTGACTGGGGGCAGGGCTCCCCCCTGGGTTGTCATGGTGACTACGTGGGGCAGGGCTCGCTCAGCCATTGAACACGGTGGTAACTCAGGGCACCGTTGAGGTGGTCATGCCCCTGGTGGCACATTCTGAAATCCCTTGTCAGCTCTCCCAGTGGGCCGGCAGCTCTAGGGGAGCCAGGTTTCCCAGACCCAGGAGGGTCAGCAGTGACAGCCAAGTGTCAGTCATCTCTAGGGCCCAGAGGGAGCTAAAGGAGAAGCCCATGGGAGGGTGGACACGCTCTGTATACTGTGTGTGACTAGTGACGGGGGGTGGACACGTTCTGTACACTGTCATTCCACGGGGTCTGTGTGTGTTTGTGTGTGTGTGTGTGTGTGTGTGTGTGTGTGTGTGTGAGGCCAGTGTCCATCCGTGATGGAAGGGTGGACATGCTCTGTACACTCTGTCACTCCATGGGGTCGGGGTGTGTGTTTGCATGTGTGTGTGATGCCAATGTCCGTCCATGATGAAGGGGTGGACATGCTCTGATACTGTGTGTGATCAGTGACAGGGAGTGGACACGCTCTGTACACTGTGTCACTCCACGGTGTGTGTGTGTGTGTGTGTGTGTGTGTGTGTGTGTGTGTGTGTGTGATGCCAGTGTCTGTCGAGTCCAGCGTGTGGTGTTGGGTGTGTGGTGTTGGATATAGCTGGGCCCGTGAGGGGGAGTGTGAGATAGCCTGGCTGAGCCTGAGGGCGCAGCTGACCCCTCCCCCCTTCCATTCTGCCCAGAGCCTCCTGGGCGTGTCCTACTCCCTGCTGGCCTGCGCCTTGTGGCCGATGGTGGCGTTCGTGGTGCCTGAGCATCAGCTGGGGACGGCCTATGGCTTGTGAGTACCTGCCCCTGGGTGGACAGTGCCCGGCCCTGGGGTCCCTGGACTTTGGGAGGCAGCTGTGAGCTGAGAATCACCTGACATACCCAGTGCCGTTGTGGTGGGTGGTGGGGGGCAGCGGTGAACCCCCAGATGGCACTCGTGAGCCAGTGCCGTCTGCTTAGCGCAGGCCGTGCCCAGGGGCCCATACCGGCGGCTGTTCCCATCCCGGTCTCAGCAGAACCGAGTTCCCAGCCTCCGGTGAGGCGTGGATCCAGCCCATCTGGGTCCTTTGAGGTCTCCAGACTCTGGGAGACAGCCGTGGCGAGGCTGGGCTGCCTGTCCCTGCTGGGAGACCCCATCTGGGTCTGCCTCTCCCTGTGGACCTCTAGCCGTAGGGTTTCCGTTGGGGGCTGTGCCACGCCCTCGCCCTTGGCCGGGTTCCTGTTCCTGCAGCCCGGCAGGCTTTTGCCTTTGCCTTTGTCCCGCTCTTCTGTTTCCACGTTGCTCCTTGTTCATGAAACATGCCCTCGGGCCTTCAGCACTGAGGTTGCCCAGCAAGGGGAGGGGGGAGGTGTGCAGGGAGGGGAGACGGCGAGCTGCACCCGACCCCGTGACCCCCTCTGCCCCAGCATGCAGTCCATCCAGAACCTGGGCCTGGCCGTCATCTCCATCCTGGCGGGCGTGATCCTGGACACCCGCGGGTACCTGTTCCTGGAGGTCTTCTTCATCGCCTGTGTCTCTGGTATGGCTGCGGGCTGGGAAGTGCTTGGACCCTGGTTTGGGGGCTGAGCGTCCCCTCCTCTGCCCCTCGCTGGCACGGCTGTCTCGGGCGAGACTCCCAGGTTGTGGGGTGGGGGGAGGCGTCCCTGGTGGGCGCAGCAGTTGGCACCAAAGCGGGCATTTCCCCAAGGGAGGGGTGCGGCCTTGGGTTCTTTGTGCTCGGACCTGGGTGCTGCAGCCCTGCCCATGGGTGCGTATGCTGGGGAGACCAGAGGTCTCCCCTTAAAGCCACGCCCCGGGGATTTAAGGGGCATTAGTGCCGCGAGTGACCTGCGGTCTCGCTGCCTTGGCCTGATGTCCCTCTCTTCAGATTGGACATACTAGTTTCAGCCCTGATGGCTCCCCAGGCTGCTCCTGTTGGCTTTGGTGAAAGATCAGCCACTCAAGGGCTGGTAGAATCACGGCTGGGGGTGGGGGCTGGGAGACCCTCCCGGGCTCTGTTCTTGGGGGGAGGGGGGCGGGCAGGACACATCAGCGTTTTTCCTGACAATTGGGGGTGGGCTGCCCTGACCTTGGTGTCCCTGACCTTGGGGGCCCCTGGCAGGTGGGGGCAGCAGGGATCAGGTGTCTGGGTGGGGATGGGGGCTCAGCCCTGTCCGTTTGTTTGGCGGGGATGGGGGATTAGCCCCTGCCTGTCTGTTTGGGTGGGTGGGATGGGGGTCAGCACTGTCCGTCTGTCTTCCTGCAGTGTCGCTGCTCGCCGTGGCCTTGCTCTATGTGGTGAACCGAGCCCAAGGTGCGTGCTGGCTGCTGGCAGGGCTGGGCCAGCCTGGGAGGGTTTTCGTGGGGGAGGGGCTAGGTCCTGCCACACACCTACTGGGCCCGGGGGCTGTCACCTGATTCTGGTGTGGACTTGCTACCCTGCCCTTGGCAGACTCTGTGGGTAAACCCAGAAAGACCTTTACAAGGACTTGGTTGGTTTGTTTGGGTTTCAAGTTTGCTTTGGGGCCACACCCAGCTGTGCCCAGGGCTTCCTCCGCCTCAGCTCAGGGCGCCAGGGAGCCTCCGCCCTACGGGATGGAGCCAGGACCAGCCCTGTGCGGGCCAGTGTAGCTATAGCAACCAGCCGCGCCAGCCCCTGGCCCTGGAACCACGTTCTTACGGATGCACGAGAGTTTTTTCCCTAGTAAAGGTTCTAGGAGGGAAATGATTTTTTTTTCTCATCTTACATAGCCCTGTCTATTTAAAATAAAGCACATTGCTGTTTGAATTTTATTTACAAGCATAAGTTGAGAAGATTGTGTTTATTTGCATTTTAGATGGGAATCTAAATTATTCTGCAAAACAAAGGGAAGAAATGAAACTTTCGCACACAGAGTAAGTATTGGGAAGGAAAGTCAGATTTATCTTGAAAAACTTAAATATTAGTGTTTTATGGGCTGGAGTGATAGCAGAGCGGTAGGGCGTTTGCCTTGCATGCAGCCGGCCAACCGAGCCGGGTTCAATTCTTCCACCCCTCTTGGAGAGCCCGGCAAGCTACCGAGAGTATCTCGCCCGCACGGCAGGGCCTGGCAAGCTCCCCGTGACATATTCGATATGCCAAACACAGTAACAACAAGTCTCACAATGGAGATGTTACTGAGCCCACTCGAGCAAATCGATGAACAACGGGAGGACACTGACAGTGATTTTGGTGTGTAAGATTTGGATTTGGAAGAAATTAGTCTCTTTCTTGAATTTCAAGATTTTCTCTGGGTCACTATGCTTGTTTCAGAAAACAGATATGAAAGGTAAAATGTGGAGAATAAGTCAATAAAATAAATCTATAATTCTTTTAATACAGTATTCTAGTCCTAGAACTACATATCCTAAGAGTATATTCAGGTATGAAGGGTTTTAGTAATTGTAAAGTTTTTTTTGTTTGTTTTAATTATCAAAAAATTGGAAGCAGGGGCTGGAGCGATAGTACAGTGGGGTTTGCCTCGAACGCAGCTGGCCTGGGTTGGGCCCCCGGCATCCCATAGGGTCCTCCGAGCACTGCCACTGTAATTTGGGAGTGATCCCTAATTACAGCACCAAGAGTCAGCCAATTTTTTTTTTCTAAACCATTAGAATGGTAAATTTTGTCTTTTATCACCGTCAAGAGAACTCAAAAGGAAAAAGAATCTCATTTTACTCTAAAAAATTTCTTTGATTCACTTACCCTCACAAAGCAATTTCCCGAAGGTGTGTCCCCCCCCCCCACCCCCCCCCCCAACAGCAGCTCCCGCGAGCAGTGGAGTCACGTGGTTTGCCCTTTGCTCCTCACGTGTCACAGGTGAGGGCTGATGCCTGGCCACACGCACTGGAACCTGACAACATCCCGTCGGGAGAGGGTGGCGTCTCGTCGGAGAAACCACTTCTACGACGCTCCTTTGTGCTCTCCCGAGTCTGTCCGAGCTTGTTCTCATGTGCGAAGATCCTGGGCACGGCCAGCCGGGAGCGAGGGCAGGTGCCCTGGTTCCTGGGTCCTTGGCACTGGCCTTCCTGGGGCAGCAGAGCGCACTGCCGGCCGGGGAAAGCTCCTGGAAGGTTTCATCTCTCAGGGACAGGTGTCGAGCCGCTGGCGGGAGCTGGGCGCGGTTCTGAGTGACCGGTGTCTGCACTGTGGTTGGTGTTTTCCGTGTACCTCAGGGCACAGAAGTGGCCTTTAAATAACAATAATCACTTTTCTATGTGGATAAATAAAACCGCTGCAGGGGGTCGACTCGGCGCTTTGGACTTTTCTTCTAACAAACAGTGAAAACGCTGACTTTTTTTTTAGATTTTTATTAGTGACACACCACGAGGTACAGTTATAGACTTACAAATTTTTGTGCTTGGGTTTCAGTTAAACAGTGATCAAGTACCCATCCCTCCACCAGCGCCCATTCTCCACCACCACGGATCCCAGCATCCCTCCCACCCCCCATTCCCCCCATCCCTCCCTGCCTCTGTGGCAGGGCATTCCCTTTTGTTCTCTCTCTCCTTTTGGGTGCTGTGGTTTGCAGAAGAGGCATTGGGTGGCAGTCATGTTTGGTCTATAGTCTACTTTCAGCATGCATCTCCCATCCTGGGAGGATCCTCCCAACACCCTTTATTTGGTGCTCCCTTCTCTAAGCTGCCTTTTCCCCTAGCATGTGTGGCTGGCCTCCAAGTCATGGAGCAGAATTCCTGGTACTAGTCTCGGCCACTCCTGGGTGTTAGTCTCCCATTATGTTACTTTATGTTCCCCAGATGAATGCAGTTTTTCTGTGTCTATCCTGCTCTTTCTGACTCATTTCGCTTAACATGATACTTCCCAGGTAGTACCACTTGTATGTAAATTTCATGACTTCATCTTTTCTGACAGCTACATAGTACTCCATTGTGTAAATGTACCAAAGTTTCTTTAACTCAGGTTTTTTCCAGATTCTGGCTGTCGTAAAGAGTGCTGCAATGAACAAACAAGTGCAGATGTCACTTCGACTATACTTTTTTGCCTCTCTGGGATATATATTCCCAGGAGTGGTATTGCGGGGTCAAATGGGAGCTCAATTTTTAATTTTTTGAGAATTGTCCATACTGTGAAGATGCTAACTTTGGAAGGTTCAAAGACAGTCCAGGTGGAGTAGAGAAAATGTGCCTGACCCGAGTTCTAGGAGACACCAGAGCCCGTTCCTGAGGGTCTGCAAAGCATCGGCTCTTCAGTAAAATGGGTCGGGGGTCTCTGGCAAGCGAACGCTGCCGCCTGGTCACACCAGGCCTTGGTGCCGCAGGCACAAGCTGTGGGACGGGCCAGGGGCATCAGTGCTCCAGAGCAACTCTGCACAGAAGAGCCCTGCCCCCACCCCAGCACAACTGTCGGGCAGAGCTGGACGCCTTTGCCCGGGATCTGGGCGCTCCCTGTCCCCGCAGCCTGTCAGCCTCCTGGGCCTCACCCGTGGGTCACTGCGTAGCTGGGCCCCGTGGCCGTGGACGCCCTCCTGGGGCTCCCCGGGGTGGCCCGGCTCTACCAGTGCTGGTAGGGGGCTGCCCTGTGCTGACGAGGGGCCACCTCACCCCCACCTGGCACCTGTAGTGTGACCTCAGGAACCTTCTAGAACCGGGGGTGTCCCCACTACAGCTGATCACCAACAGGGGTGACACCACAGGCCCATGGGTGCAGCCCTGGGCTCTGGAGCCTCCTTTGGCCAGGGTTTCAGTTCCCCTTGTGGTGGCCTGGGCCGCGCTGTGGGAGCTGTCCCTGCACCCGCCCTCTCCCTGTACCCTGCCTGTCCCAGGTCAGGGTCCCTGAGGAGGAGGGGTTGGCGATGTGGTGGGGTGGGGGCTGTGGTCTGGGAAGGTGGAGGGGACATTGGGTCATCGGGGAGCCCCCTGTGGGTGACTGTGTGCAGGGGAGGGGTTTGAGGGGTCCCCAAGAGGGGGGAGGGGAGGTAGGCACGTGGGGTCTGGCCCAGGGTTCCCTCCCCCTTGCCTGACTAGCCTCCCATGCCCCATCCCCACACCCCAAACACCCGGAGGCCTCAGCGCCCCTCTGCCAATTGGGGCCCGCCGGGCTGGGTGGGTGTGGGAGTGGGGGCACCCGGGGCTGTGGGGAAGGTGGACCCTGGGCGTGTCTGAGCTGGCGGGACTAGGAGACCCCACTCCTGAGCTCCGAGCCGCCTGAGGCCCAAGGTGCTTCTGGACCCCGAGTGTCGCCAGGCCTGTCCCAGTTCACCCCCAGGCGGCGCGACTCCTGCAGGAGCACCCTACTGTGCCCAGACCTGCGGGCAGCAGCCAAGCCCCGCAGGAGTGAGGGAGCACAAAGCCCCTGGCCTGCCCCGCCCGGCTGTGCCCAGCATGAGGGGAACCCCTGCGTGGGTGGGCACAGGGGGGCAGGACCGTGGACTCACCCACGGGAGGGTCCTGCAGGCACCAGACCTGGCCTGGGAGCCAGGGCAGAGTGGACGGGGAGGGCCAGTGTGGGGCCGTGGGGGAGGAGCAGTCAGCGGTGTGGCCAGCATGGGCAGCGTGTTCGGCCGCCGTGGTGTAAGGCTGGACTGTGTTGAGCTGGGCGCCGGCTGGGAAGGACCCGCGGGTGGCACTAGGCCGCGGAGGGTGGCGCTCAGGGCTCATGGGCTCCAGGAGGGCAGAGGGGCCCTCGGTGCTCTGGGCAGGGCGGGCAGGGGCTGGGCCGGGCCTGACGCAGGTGCCAGGATGGTCACGGGACACATACTCTGGGTGGACATCGCTGCTGGACTGGGCCCTGCTCTGTGGTCCCCGGCAGCATCTCCAGAGGGAGGGGAGAGCCCGAGGGTGCCGGTCTCCCACGGACATGCTGTTTAGGGGCCTTACAGGTGGTGCTTGGGCTGGCTCCCGGCTCTGTGCTCAGGGCTCACTCCTGGCTCTGTGCTCGGGGATGATGCCTGACTGTGTCTCAGAGATTGCTCCTGGCTCTGTGCTCAGGGCTTACTCACAGCTCTGTGCTCAGGGCTCGCTCCTGGCTCTGTGCTTGGGGCTGATTCCTGGTTCTGTGCTCGGGGCTGACTCCTGGCTCTGTGCTCAGGGCTGACTCCTGGCTTAGTGCTTGGGGTCACTACTGGCAGGACTCGCGAGATGCTCTGTCAGGGCTTGAGTCTGTCCTGACCAGTGGAAGGCAAATGCCTTCTGTTTTACCTGGTCCCAGAATTAGGTATTTTTTTTTCTTGTCACAATTTAATCATTTCCTATTTCAACAGGTTCTTTTTTTTTTTTTTTTAATTTTTATTAGTGAAACACCATGAGGTACAGTTGTAGGTTTACAATTTTTTGTGCTTGGGTTTCGATTATACAATGATCAAATACCCATCCCTCCACCAGTGCCCATTTTCCACCACCACGGATCCCAGTATCCCTCCTACCCCCCATCCCCCCATCCCACCCTGCCTCTGGCAGGGCATTCCCTTTTGTTCTCTCTCTCCTTTTGGGTTCAACAGGTTCTTTTAAAACGAGAGAGACAAGTGCAGGGGTGAAGGCATCCACTTGATGAAAGCATGGCACGGCCAGGTGTGCCCCCCCCCCCCCCACGATGCGGCACCCCAGGTGCGTTGAATCAGGTGTCCACTAAGGCGGTTGTCTCAAATCAGGGATACTGGGAGGTCGTTCAGCCGAGTGACCGCTGGGTGGCGACAGAGACCAGCAGGCAGGCTGAGGGGCCCAGGACTGGGCACAGGCCTCCTGCCTCCTGGGGGGGGGCGGGGGGGAGGACACGCAGGATAGGGCGGTGCCCCCTGCGCCCTTGGACCCTCTCTGGGGGCCTACTGGGTGGCTAAGCAGGGCAGGAGGCCCGTGGGTGTCAGGGAGGACAGGAGAGGCCAGGGGTGTGCTGGGTCGGGAGACAGAGCCTGCGGGCACGAAGCAGAG